TCCGGACACCTGACATGCGAGGCGAACGTGTTACCACTATTCGCTCAAGTGAGAACACGTTCACCCGTTCAGACGTGAGAATTCAGATGCGTTCAACGTGCGCCGGTGGAATAGTGGTAACACGTTCGCCTCGCATGTCAGGTATGCGAAGTTCAAACCCCGGCACGGCCGTTGGATGTGCACTGCTGATGAGCTCTAACAAGAACGAGACTAGAGTCCAGTGCTTCCCCCCTTTGGTGTGGATTCACATGAGTAATTGCGTCAGGACAGGAGAACGACTGTTCAAAACGAGAGTGACGTGAAACTGAACAATACACCTCCCGCAAAAACCATCACATGCATGACATTTTGTTAGGAAAACACGTGGTTTAATGGGCTGACACCAAAGCTTTTGCTTACTATGCACACAGAGAAAAGTCAGATTTCGACAAATACTCTCGTTTGATTTTGACGGGAGACTCAACTGAATTCAGCTGAATCCCTTGTTTATGATATCCCTTTTCTCCACTCGAATATGAAGCACCTGGCCGCCTCATGGTATGGTATTCGAGATATCGCAATATGTCGGCATCGCCTCAAGAAGGGCGAAATCGTTCGTCGGCTACCGAAGAGCTGTCAGCAACCGTATGCTACCGTATGCTACATCCAGTGAAAAGTCAGACTATATTACTTGACAGTTTTGACGGTAGTTTTCTCTTCTTTTTTCTGTTTCATCTTACGAATCTCTAGGGCGTCTTGGTCCTTGACCTTCCTAGTTGTGGAAAGCCTAATCATCTATAGACGAATTTCTCTTGGTACACTGTTCGGTTTGGTGTTAAAACTTAGTAGAGGAATTACAGTACCAAATACCGCAGAAGAGGCATAGCAGTCACTCTTGGCTAACAGGTGCAAACATACTCATCATACCGCTCAACGGGTTATCCAATTTCAGATGACCGTTTTGGGCACTAGAAAACCCACGTAGATGATCCAAGACAGAATAAGCATACTCTGCGCATCAGGAACAGTCCTCATGATGGGAACATTATAAAAAGCACTCACCTCCACAGAAATACTTCTTCCTGGTGGCACTATTCCATGGAGAGGCTGCACTGAGAATGGTACCAAAGAGACATCCCAGCTTTTTACATTTGTTTCCTCACTATCAGGTAATGGGGTTGGCACTTCAGACTCGTTCGATGATGGCATGCTAGTTAGCATCTCCACTAACCATGAGAAATGAAGATCGACCACTCCGACGTTGCTCAATTCAAACCTAGATGAAAGCCCATCGGATTAGTAAGGGGACGAATAAATATTCTTGGGAAAGAAGATACATCAGTGATAACCCGAAAACAACCATTCAAAGCGAGAATGCTTCCTTGAACGTCTTCTAGTCAAACCTGAGGGATAGGTTCGATGGTGTTGGGCATGACAGGACATGAAGCTTCCTTTGAAAAAAATTCACTTTTTATTATCCGAGCTAATATTACTACAAGATCCTTCTTTCTCTCTAAATAGTTTGACGTAGACAAGCTTTAAAAGCATTGTATGAGCCACGCAGTGGCATGTACGCCACTGATCAAAACAGGTATACCCAGCTCAATGTTATAGTAATATCTGCGGCAAAGTATGCTGTTTCAATCGCTATAGATTCTAAGTGAACTGCACGTCACAGATTAGAAACACAGTAGTAATAGCTGGATTAAACAAAGAGGTATCGCAGCCAGTAGCATGATGCCAAAATGTTATAACTCATTCTATAAAAACCAACCTAAGATAGATCCTGCATGAATATGTTGCGGACCGATCTATTAGCCCTAGTTTCAGAAAATTTTTCCCAAAACGGGGAGAACGTAGATTTGTTCCGGATTGTTTCAGACAGTTTGGAATCCCGGTACTCACGACGGCTAGGCAGGGAGTGGTCCTCTCGCTGGTTGATTACGTTAAACTTCAGAGGGTATGATAACTGACCAAATTTGAGATATCGAAAACTTCGCTGAGAATTATATCGCAGATGATGTGCTCCTCCCGATCGCGAACTCACAAGCAACTCAAAAATCGATAAGACGGCGGATGACAAAGAACAGCAGACCGCGGGACAGTCATACAATGTCGTATATGTTTGGCAGGCGTTGACTTAAATTGGACGACTTGACCTCGTGTTTATCTCTCATTCCGATAAAATTCCATTTCAAAGATATTACAGCAAGACAAGAACACTTGCAAATGGGGTAGGGGGTAGGTAAAAATGGTCAGAACACCCTCAACCAGGAGCCGCTCCCCTACTAAAATAATAGCACTGTTTTAGCGTCTCACACAGTACACAGAAGACTCTGAAGTAATTGTTGATTTAAGTGTCAGTCTAGCAGGAACTGACATTTGGGAAACAAGCTGATGGATAGTTGAATAAATCACTTCGCCAAGTGGATTGCAAATGACTTGTTGGTGGGACTAAAACAAGGTCCAACTACTAGTGGGCTAACGACGAGCCATAATTGATCTTCACATTCTGTTTATTAAACATATGAAAGAGCGCGGCGGCTGAGTCCCTACACAATTTTGAACTGCACATTTGACTGATTAATATCACATGCGAAAGGTTCATTTGATCTTAAGGTTAACATCTCATTTTTGAATCTTTGTTATGGGGAAATAGAAACAATAATAAATAAAACAAGAGATAGAACGATAAGTATTGTGGCAGACAATTCTGAAAACCTCAACCGCACCAAAACTTTTGACCTGATTGAAACGCACCACTTAGCTTTGAGAGCTAGCATGAATGACGCGTTCGTCAAAAGCCTCGGTTTCTTCACGAGGATCGGTGACTACTCACAACTCGTCAGCTGGTCAAACCCAGCAATGCAAAACCATCGGAGGGCGGCAAATAATCATAGGGCTACTCACGAGTAGTCAGATAGTTGAGTAATTTGACTGGTGAGAGCAAAGGAATATGCCTCCGATAGAGTGAACGACTCTCAGTAGCGCACCGAATGGTAGTTGGCAATGATTAAATGGTCGAAATTCGTTTCAAAATGTTGGAAGAGAATATTGTTTGAATGGGTGTTGGTTAGATTGCCCACAAACTGTTTATCTTTCGCTTTACATTGCAACGAAACCTACCATTTTTACGTGTTTATCAAGAGGGTTTCGTGTCCAATAGAATAACCTTTCAAAACGGCATCTTGTGGAGAGTTTACCCAGAACTAAGATAGATGGAACACTGCTACTAAGTATAGCCCAGCAATGCCTCATTATAGAGGTCCCAAGGTAAAACAGTCAAGCAAGTAAAAAACCGATTGGATCCATGGATCCAGGAGTAACTAAAGAAGTAACGCCTACCTATGAACGCGACGCTGGAACATTAAAGTGTTTTGAAAACTGACAGAGTCAGCGCTACACGAAAAGCGTGCGAAATCGGCTACGGCGGAAACCAGAAGTGTCAATGATTGGGGATCTGGAACCTCCGGGATTTCGGTGAACGGCGGCTCGGGTTCAGTTTCTACAACTTTCCGTTTCCGTCTTGCTACTTCGGTTGTTGTTCCGTATTCAGACACTGGATGCTCTTGTGGCATAGTGCGACTGGCGGACGCACTCGCGGTTATCGCGCCTCCCCTATTCTCTGCATTGTTATGTTTGGGCTTGGGACTAGGGGAAAATCAGAATCAAAATGAAAATATTAGCTAAGGATTACGATAATGAGGGAAAACCGTCAGGGCATATACTCTGTTCATACACTATTTCTCATGGTGAACCGCTTAAATTGACCATAAACGATCAACAAGAATAGATATTTACCAATGGTAATGGCTTTCATACTTCTCTGTCAAGTCACTGCTCGACCTCCCTTGACCCGCTTCCGCTTTTCGCATGTTTAAACAAAAAGAGCTCTTTGAAGAAGTCTCCTAACTCCTGAATTCACACCCCCAATCGTACCTCTTGTAGCTTCCAACGCATGGCTATTCGCTTGTATTCTCCCAGATTGTTGGTGAACGAAACTGCCTGTGCTATAACCACTTCCAAACATCTACGCGGTTTTTACAGCTGAAAATGATGACGATGATTTTTTTAGTGGTCCCACTGAGCGGATTTTCAGTAAATAGGATCGCTTGAAAGAAAATGCACACAGCATCTGTGACGTCGTTTTCAGGTCGATCCACCGAACAGCCTAACTGCAGAAGGGATCTGAACCAAATAAATTCCACAGGAAGATTAAGACTGACTATGTGGCCGACCACTGTAGCCTATATATACACCGATTATCCATAGGTTTGAAAGTCGCATTGCGATTTTGTAGGTTAAAGTTTCTGTCTGCATTATTCGGTCGACCTCATGTTTACCGTCCGTCATGAATGGGCTCGTGTAGCCCTGACAGGCAGTTTAAAGCTCGGGATAGCTCAACCGTTAAGGCACGAACTTACTAACCGGAAGATCCATGGTTCAAACCCAACCTCTGCATCTCGATAGCTCTTCTCCAGGCTCTTTTCCTGGCCTGACAGCATATCAGCTCCTGTGCTTCCATTGAGTGATGTGGCAGCCAGACACCGCAAGGATGTTACAACCGAGCGGCTATTGGTGTTCAGGTAGTTTAACTACTATATACCTATCATTTTTTCCCATTTACATTCGGAGCATGATGACTGTGAGCAGTATATTGGACAAAGTCCCATCAGACACAAGCACAGTCCTGGGTGGATGAAATTTTGTTGTTTAAGGCTTTGAATTCCTCCCAAGGAGGGGCAGTCTGTTTAATGCTTTCAAGTGCATTTTTGGTGACAGTGACGGCTGACGTGAACTTGTTTGCAACTGAGAATAACTTTCGAATGCTCGATGAATATCGCTGAACAATACTGACGGATGGATTTTGGTGGTTTGCGTAGAACAGGCAGTGTATATTCGCACTGGTTGCATTGTTTTGGTTTTTCCGGTCCTGCTGCAGGTTGCTAGACGGTTGACCATTCTTTGGGATAGACACCGAGTCGCACCGCTCGGGGGTGTTTTGGGAAAGACACAAGCAAAGGAATGGATTAAAAGTGAGGAGCTGCGGACCAAAAACCCTCGTTTGTATTGATCAGACGGGCAGTAGATAAGTGGACCATTGGTTTTGCTGTACTCCTTATAGAGAAGCTGTTAGGCTAAATGTGGTAGCTTCGAAAGTCATGATGCTTACAAACGGAAACTGTTTGTAGATTTTGGAGATTGAAATACTGTTCTGTAGTCCGTCCCTCCGATTAGTTTTCCTGGTAATCGCCAGCTCTTTGGCTTCATGTTGACTAGAGATAACGTTAAGAGAAGAATACGCCCTGAAGAAGTTTAATTCAGTCAGCTTCTGTGGTTCTGTTGTGTTTGCCCAACAGGACTCACAGACTGTCATCACTATCATCATCGTTCACATTAATACCCCAGTACTACAAACTGGGGATTAACTGTCATATAAACACGAAGGACGAAAGATGTAGGAAAGACTTATGAGAAAAGAGAAGCGCAGGGATTCATTGCGAAGGACGATTAAGAATAAGGTTTTCACACCTTTAGACGGCATCACGATGACTTTCATACGGAGCTGAAGGTTATACTGAAGGTGAGAATAGTGAGAATGACTCCCAACAAACTGGATGTCGTGCTGCTGAAACAAAACTCGGAATCGGTGCTTGAGTCCAAAGAAGCCTACCAACATAGACCAGTATAGTTCGCAACTCATTTCACTTTTATAGTGCTTGTGTCAATCTACTTCACTGGTGTACTTCTCAAGTATCACGCATTTGATTGTCTGATCCTCTTCATATTTCACCTCCTCACTAACAAGCACGTTACTACTGCATGTTCCCATCCTGGTAGACACGTAAAAATACGTCACTTGATATTGCAGTGCAATAACTTGTCTTTATTTTCTGAAATACTTGACTTACGAATCAGGAACCGCGTCAATCCATTTGATGACTTGCTTGTTATCATCCCAGTCTGGTGGCTGGAACAAGGAAAACGGAACAGAGTTAGTGAACCATTAAAACCATGGACGTGTTTGCCAAAACCGAATACGGCCGCGAGTGAGTGACCTGGGCTGCTTGTACATTTTACTTGAACACAAGACCGTCTTCCTCACCGACCTTCCGCCTGACCATCTAAGTGGTTAGAACCTGACATACGATGATGAATTCCATAACCGTGATCGGATAAGGGAATAGACATGTCGCAGTTGGTTTTCCTCAATCCAGGCTACTAGCTCTAATTTCTGGCTACCCATCTCGCTTTTGATGAGGGGAAAGTATTCAGGCAACTGTGCTTTCAGCTGTCGCCTCTCACGTAGAGGTCACGTTTGCCGGCCGTCTCGTTGTCGGTGACCAAAGCTGGGGTAAAGGAATATGGAACATAACTCATACAAGACCCCAAGTTTTTATCAACTGCAATTCACTTAGTGTCCGCATCGATTGTCACAGGCTTTCAGGCGCTTTTGAATAAAACCATCCGGAAAATTATTTGACCGAAGTGTACTCTTGAGCAGCTGAATATCCTTATCCAGCGTATTTGGTGTGTAGCCCAGCCTAACTCGGTGTGCAGCAGTGAGCACTTTCATCGCATTGGATAGAAACTGGAAGTCATTCGTTCCACTTAGGTTTACGGCAACCAGACCGTGAAGTTGAAGCATCTGGGTTTCTCTGGGCGAAAAGTTTCAGGAAGCTGAGTTGGCCGTCTCGTTCGAACTCACAAGCAAGCTAAAGTTTCAATAAAAGTTATTAAAAACGGAATGTAGGTCTTCAGCGTGTTTTTTCCTGGCGATGATTAAAATATCTTTTGGCTGGTTTTTTTTCTAAAGGAAGTCAGCTTGAACTTCAGTCACTGCACTTGGTTTTGGTATACGTTCGTTGAAGCGAAATCCCTATAGATTCACAAACCCACCGTCAATGGCTGATACATCGGAAAACAAAAGCTAAAATTTCCAGAACATAAAAAAACGATAAGCTGCTTCAAGAATTAGATGAGCAAGAGTTTAAGGTATAAATGAGCCTTTAAAGTGCACAAACGGCCGAGCTTCTCAAAGGTAAGTAAAAATTCCGCATTGAAACAGTACGTCAGCAAAGTTAGCATACCCATACGTTCCAGATATGACATAGTTTCGTAACTGCTTTTTGTTGTATTCGTAGCCTCAGAAACATCACGTCGTTTCCGCTCCTCTTGGCCATTGTAGCCTTTACCCCTCAATTTTGGTCTACCTATTCGTGAATTTCATTACCCGCCGTCTTGGAATATATGGTTTCGTTTCCTCCGGCAATCTTCAGTTTATCCAATACCTATGTCAATTGTTCGAGACATAGCGGTACAACGAAGAAGATCCATGATATTTCGCTGAGTAATGTTGTGAATATCCAACGTGTGATTGTGGTGCCATGACAAACCTGCTAACATCCAGGTACTTGTGGCCACAGTTGCATCAGAGAGGTCTTGAATATTGAAACAAACACACAATCTAGATGAGAAGACAGTCCCTAAAGGAGATTCGAACCCACGGCCTTCAGCGTCCACTATCAACTATATTTGAAAGCCTATTCACTCGCACTGCGTGTGATTGTGTTCATATTCACGACTCCCTGATCCCCGCCTCCCATTCGTAAAAGAACTGTTTATGTGACATCTTGATGACTAGCGTCTGTCATAGAACTGTGCTTCATGAGTAAGTGACGCTGGTATATCGACTGATTATAGTCGGTTCACGGAAACTAATATTCCTCTACTATAGCAAAGAGTGTCGTGGGAGCGAGTGGGGGGTAACGTGTGCAGAGGTTATCTTGTGAGCGCAATGGACCACAAGTTTCCTACACCACAATATTAAAAATTTGGTCAAACTCAATTGAGCTGGCATGCGTTTGTGGTGAGGTGATGTACTTCCTTGTTGCCACAGGTTCCTGATATCCAATTGTTTCACAGGCATACAAATGAGATGATTTGATGGTCGTGGTAGACCTGTCTACCTACTACCATACCGCCTTATTTAGACCGCACCCATTACATCCTTTTTGTGCCACGTAGGAAATTTTGAACAAGAGCTGTGAAACTAGGTATGTTCTCATAATGATTCACCCCCATATAACAATGGTAAACGGACAACTATCAAGTAGATGCGTTTCCATCCATTTCCATGCGTCTCTTTTCATCCGTATTGCAGCTGTAGTGTATTCCTAAAAGTGGTGTTTTGTGGGCAGTCCAACCCAGGCACTGACCAAGCTCAAGTCTGATCGACATAACCCCACCGATTAGATGAGGAATCGCATCAACAGTATCTACGATATCAATATTAAAATACTGAATTTAGTGGATGTGTGTGATGTTTTCTCCAGGACGACACTTGACAGGTTTGGTAAGTGAAACATATCTGTTTGGGTCTGGAGATAGGTTCTTCGATGAGGCTTGCAAACTATAAAACGTCCGTGCTGCCTCTACAGTGAATGGGCTTCTTTTAGAGGATTTCTTCGTAGGGGGGGACGCACACAAAGCTAGAGTCACAGCAGTGTGTAACACGGATGAATTCCAACGTCNCCGCGAGTGAGTGACCTGGGCTGCTTGTACATTTTACTTGAACAAAAGACCGTCTTCCTCACCGACCTTCCGCCTGACCATCTAAGTGGTTAGAACCTGACATACGATGATGAATTCCATAACCGTGATCGGATAAGGGAATAGACATGTCGCAGTTGGTTTTCCTCAATCCAGGCTACTAGCTCTAATTTCTGGCTACCCATCTCGCTTTTGATGAGGGGAAAGTATTCAGGCAACTGTGCTTTCAGCTGTCGCCTCTCACGTAGAGGTCACGTTTGCCGGCCGTCTCGTTGTCGGTGACCAAAGCTGGGGTAAAGGAATATGGAACATAACTCATACAAGACCCCAAGTTTTTATCAACTGCAATTCACTTAGTGTCCGCATCGATTGTCACAGGCTTTCAGGCGCTTTTGAATAAAACCACCCGGAAAATTATTTGACCGAAGTGTACTCTTGAGCAGCTGAATATCCTTATCCAGCGTATTTGGTGTGTTGCCTAGCCTAACTCTGTGTGCAGCAGTGAGGACTTGCATCGCATTGGATAGAAACTGGAAGTCATTCGTTCCACTTAGGTTTACGGCAACCAGACCGTGAAGTTGATGCATCTGGGTTTCTCTGGGTGAAAAGTCCCAGGAAGCTGAGTTGGCTGTCTCGTTCGAACTCACAAGTAAGCTAAAGTTTCAAAAAAGAGTTATTAAGAACGGAACGTAGGTCTTCAGCGTGTTTCTTCTTGGCGATGGTTAAAATATCCTTTGAATATCTTTCTCTAAAGGAAGTCAGCTTGAACTTCAGTCACTGCACTTGGCGTTAGTGTGCGTTCGGTCAAAAGAACTCCCCGTGGATCCACAAATCCACCGCCAATGGCTGATACTTGGGAAAATGAAAGTTAAAATTACCAGAACATAAAAAACATTAAGCTGCTTCAAGATATGAATGAGAAAGAGTGCAGGGTCTAAACGAGCCATTAAAGTGCACAAACGGCCGAGATTCTCAAAGGTGAGTAAAAATTCTGCATCGAAACAGTACGTTATCAAAGTTAGCATGCCGATACGTTCCAGATATGATATAGTTTCGTAACTGTTTTTTGTTGTGGTTATAGCCTCAGAAGCATCACGTCGTTTCCGATCCTATTAGCCAAGGTAGCCTTTACCTCTCAATTTTGGCCTACCTATTCATGGATTTCATTGCCCGCCGTCTTGGAATATGTGGTTTCGTTCCCTCCGGCAATCTTCAGTTAATCCAATACCTATGTCAACTGTTCGAGACATAGCGGTACAACGAAGAAGATCCATAATATTTCGCTGAGTAATGTTGTGAATATCCAACGTGTGATTGTAGTGCCATGTCAAACCTGCTAACATCCAGGCACTTGTGGCCACAGTTGCATCAGAGAGGTCTTGAATATTGAAACAAACACACAATCTAGATGAGCAGACAGTCCCTAAAGGAGATTCGAACCCATGACCTTCAGCGTCCACTATCAACTATATTTGAAAGCCTCTTCACTCGCACTGCGCGCGATTGTGTTCATATTCACGACTCCCTGATCCCCGCCTCCCATTCGTAAAAGAACTGTTTATGTGACATCTTGATGACTAGCGTCTGTCATAGAACTGTGCTTCATGAGTAAGTGACGCTGGTATATCGACTGATTATAGTCGGTTCACGGAAACTAATATTCCTCTACTATAGCAAAGAGTGTCGTGGGAGCGAGTGGGGGGTAACGTGTGCAGAGGTTATCTTGTGAGCGCAATGGACCACAAGTTTCCTACACCACAATATTAAAAATTTGGTCTCTCTCTCTCTCTGGAAGTCTTTTCTTGGTGAATTACTGTGGTCAAAATTGAAACACAACAGGAAGCAGCTTAACCATTCTGCGTGTGCTAGGCTGGGGACTATGCAAAATCACATTTCGCAAAACTAAACAGATACTTTCACCCGCAATTATACCGACTAACTTATCTCACTTTTTGGCCATAATTTCACGCGTGAAAGAGACATAAGTCAAGTTGTGGGTAATATGTGACACATATAGCATCAAAACTGATCACATCACTGGTGTTGAAATTTTATTGTTCAATGTCGTACTAATAAAGCAACCCATTCCGAGAAAATCCTGGTGAGAAGCGGGAGAAAACTGAAAACACCAGATCTGATGTTCAGCAATCAGAACGATTTCCAGCTACTCATAACTCCGTGGATTGAGTTAGGTAATATATGGATATCTGGTTAAAGCAGAGGTGGCATACAGAAACGATGCAAAGAGGGCCATATAGATGAGAACCTATAAGTAGCAACAGGTGTTTCTTAGCTAAGGTGGGGTTAGGGTGAGCAACAATCAACGTGATCCAGGGCATGAGTAAACTACAAGTACTTTTCGTCTGAGAGTCAGGGTTGCTCCATCTTATAGCTTATTATTCAGGTGTTGAGGTCATCTGAATGTAAACAAAGGACAAACTGGCCGATTCAGCCGACACCAAATCAATCATTTTTGTAAACCATCCAGCCAAAAACGAAAGAACTTACCTCTGAGAATTTGTATGTCATCCCAAGATTTATCTGTAAAATGACAATGTGGCATTTTTTGGTAAGAGGATGAATTTAGTATAAGCTTTGACAACGTGTTGCAGACCATAAGACAGAGTGTTTTGTAATGTCTCTATGGTATTTCGTGGGCGCATCTTAACGATAGCACCTTGAGCCATAGCTTGTGTACATCTTTCGTAGGCATTAGTGCCACAGTGAGTAGCCATCTGAGTGCTCTGACCTTCAAGATTCACTCATGCCAGTTTTATTACACTCTAAGCACTCCAATTTTTTTCAATGGTGCTCAAAGTGACGAAGTCCCTGTCTGGGTTTCAAGATTTAGGTAGAGTCTCACGTTATATTTAAAGCCCAAAAGCTATTTTTCCGACTATGGAAGAATGACTGTTTCTGTATCGGACATATAAGGACAAATGAAGGCAAAGCTGGTTGTGGGTTCGTTGTCGATTTTGAACAATAATTCCCAAACTCTTCACAGGTTTCTCGGTCCCTTCGTTTGCGAGGAAGCGGAAGCTTTGAATTCCTGAGGTCGGTTGCCTAGCCCATCCTACTAGTTGCCTGCTACGAGACTAGATGTCTATACTTCCCAAACAGTTCATGTCGAAAGCTCACGGATAAGAAGCCAAGTTCATATAATGGTAGATTTGGTAACAAAAAGTCGCTGACAGTGGGTCCAGCCCTGTCTTTTTCGGGGAAGTTTTCATGCATACACAAAAAATCCTACCAAAAGCAACTGAACGCAGCGGTTCATCGAGTTTATATGAAAAAGTGTTCTACAAACACAGAAAAAGATCCCAGGACAGCGCTGGAAACATTAGTGCGCTTGGATGTTTTTGAACCGCACACAAATCTAAAGAACAACCGAAAGATATCCCGTATTCGAATAAACAAACCGAAGAAGGATATGATGAAACATACCTAGTGATGAAACTGTTTCCATGCTGCCTATTTCGGGGGTTCGCCGTCTGAGCGCCTCATGAATGTATTCAGCGCGAAGTGGATCCAGCTGTGGCAAATCCTGTATACAAACCTCGTCAGCTAGCGCATTGCCAATCAATTCCACCGATGTGTCTTCATACGGGTTATTCACCACGAGCAGTTTTAACTGGCCGGTACTCTTCACACCTGGTTCGGTTGGTCTGTAGTATAGGTTAAACAGATACTCTCTACCCGGCCGAATCAGAATGCTGGCGGTGTACATTTGGATCGCTGAAGCCTCATGAGCTTGATTTAGTAGAAAAAATAAAGTGATTTAGATAGTGTAACGCCTTGCATAAGTTTGAGAAGACAAGAAAAGTGTTGGTTCGATTAAGTTTTATACTTTTTAAGTCATATAGTTACCCTTCGTTCCAAGGGGGAGTTTGTTAATCAGTTATTGCTATTGTGCCTAGTTGCGAGAACACAAACCTGATATGATTATTCGGTGCTATATTGGAGCCTTTCGATTCACTTTTCTGTGGAATAAAACACAATCAAGTGTTGTGCTATCCTATACCAAATCATCAGACCCCGTTTTTCTCCATTCGCCTAGAGAATAGCCACTTGTTTACCACTTCCATGAGCGTTTTAACTTAAAGTTAATTGTTCAAGATTTGAAAAGCACTGATAGGGCGGTGGGGCTAACGGAGAGATGGGGACGGAATTGAAGGCGGCAATTTTAATGGAACTGAGTTTCGAGTAGCCGGTATGCGCCCTAATAAGCATCGATCGAACTGTTCAAAAGGTGATCAGATATAAAAACAGCTAAAGATTAACTGGAACGAACCGAGGATTCGAAAGTAATCTTGACCTGGTGAACCAGGGCAAGTTATTAACAACCTTTACTAGGTCATTCGACACTCCGTATTTAAGTAGTATGGTTATTCCAACTTTTCTGCACAGCTTGCAGAATGGATATCTCGGGGGCTACGCTACTCAGAATGCAATAGTATTTTCTTGAGAAA